TATATGAAACTATTATTTTCAGGTACTTAATTGCTGCAAATATTTGTACATCTTTTATTAATAATTAAAATAAATAATTATAATTAATATGCATTTTATTTACATAACAATGAAATATAATATACAATAGTAAAAAACTATAATAAAAAAAACTAAACCTATTTACTTAGTTATCATACAGTCCTACTCCCCGTGGACCCTTGCACCTCTGGAAAGGAAATCCGGCTGTGAATGTAGAGGAGGGACGATATTTATTAAAAAATCTAAACATATCTCTACAGCACTTAAATCTTTATATAATATAGCTTCATATTGATGTGGAATGTGCTGTACCCCGCATCTTTCCCTGAAACACAATCATTTATAGCCTAAATAAAAGCATTTTGCTCAATAAATGAAATATTATCACAATACTCCCCTGAATTTATTTCATATTGGTGAATATGTAGTCGTTATTCTTTGACAGCTGACAACGGCTCTGCAGAAATATGTTCCTTTATAAATGGGTATTATGTCTGAAATCAAAAAGAAATATTATTATAATTGTCTTATACATTTATTGACCTTTAATGTAATTTTATAGCCAAAATTGGCCTCTGAATAACAAAATAAAATAAATTATATATACATAGCTTTAGACAATTGAAAAAAATTTGACAATTTTATAAATATAATTATAAATTTTAATTATAAATACTTATATAAATATGTAAAAAAAAATGTTTACCTACTGAAAATGAGTTTCAATAAACTGTCTTCTTCTAATATTTCCCCTTATTGATGGTGTAATATATCTTTGTACTATAGGTTCAGATGAATATTGTTCAATGCTATCTCTCTCACCAGAAAACACATCTTCTCTCATGTCGATGGCCATATTGTGTAGTACAGCACATGCAACAATTGTTTTTTTGCTGTTTCAATATCTCCAAACATACCTCTTAATAGGCAACGAAACCGTTGCTTCCACAAACCAAAACATCTTTCCACTGTGTTCCTGGTACGGATATGGCTCCTATTATATCTTTCTTCTTGTGGTGTTGTGGGGTTCAGCAGCGGTGTAAATAGGTAAGGAGTACAAGGATAGCCACTGTCACCAAGTAATATTCCAGAGAATGCACCAGCCTCAAACCTCTGTTTTAGTCTACATTCTCGGAATATTCTGGAGTCATGTACACTACCACGCCACCTGGTAACAATGTCCATGATTTTCAGGTCAGCATCACAAACCACCTGTAAAATAAGAGCTCATTAGTACTTTATGTTTTTCTGGTTTATTTTAATATATATTTATTACCATAAGATAGTCAAACAAATTATTTTCTATTATGATAAAGTTATTAAGAGACAATCACAGCTATTTAAAATATTTGTATATTACCTGTACATTAATTGAAGAAAATCCTTTTCTATTAATATATAACTGACCCCCATCAGCATTCACTTTCTTTACTCGTATGTGAGTACAGTCAATTGCGCCAATTACTGTAGGAAAATTAGCAATACTGCGAAATTTCCTAATGGTTTCCTGTTGTTCATTTAAAGTAGTAGGCATTTTAATAAATTCTCGGGAATTCCGTGACAAAATTTCCGCTACTTTTTTACATGTCCTACTGACTACTGGTTGAGACACACTATGTAAACCAGCTGTATCGTCTTGAATCTACGAATAAAACAATAATATGTATTATTTGGCTTTTTATCTAGCGTAATGTTAGGTACATTGACCCCACCAAGATTATAAACAGCACTTACTTCATGGCGAGCCCAGTTGCGTAATGCACAAACCACTTGAATTTCAGGACTCAATGGGCATCCTCGAGGGTCGTGCACTAAATCCTCACGTAAGATACCCACTATTTTTTCTCCGAAACGTTTTGAGAACCTATACTTATACCTAAAATCTTCGTCACTCAATTCAAACGGATTCACACGATGTCGATGTCTATCAGGTCGCCGAGTGGTCTCCAGCATGTCCAAATCTTCTAAATCCATCAAGTCAATCATGTTAATATCCATTTTTAACGATTTTAATAACACCAAATGAAAACAACGCTCACCTCAAATTAAGAAGTACCGAAATTGAGGTTAGTATAGAGTACCACAAACTATATAGAAAGGTTAGTACCATAGCTAAACTAGGGGTCTCGAAAGATTAACTTTAATACCATAGATAATCCTTGAACCAGAGATAATCTTCGTTTTGTAATAACGTTTTTCTTAGTTTATGGTTTAAATATATTACTAACTCCAGTACTATATTAAGTCCGTGTTTTGGAATAAGGCGGTTTGTGTTTAAGTAGTGTTCTTTAACATCAATTAGTCTTGCTTTACATATCAGTATACATTAGTTGATTTGAAACTGGAACCGATGGATACGACGGGTTTACTCCTACATTTTCACTGGTTTCAAGATTTTTCAAAAAAGATTTACATTAAAAAAAAAAATGAAAACTCAGCAATTTTTTAAACAACTATCGTCATATGCTCATAATGCCAACCAATATAGAGCTCAGTATATGTAACCGTACATTTTGAAGCTATCTTTGGTCCGATTAGCCACAAAAATTTAAGTAAAAGTCCTTACTCTAAACATTAAGCACAACCTTTATTATTCGAATTCGCCTAGCTTCTTTGCTGCTGCTATAAAAGCTACGATATAGAACATGTCTGATATTCTAAGCCAATAAAACATTTTACTCCAAAAAAAATCTCTGAATAGCTTTTGAAATTTAATGTTTTCATTTACAAAAGTTAAGATTATATAATTTGTATTTGGTATAATGTAAAAAATTTACAATTTATATAATCTACATACAAAATTGTAGTCACATGCTATGTGATGTCTCAGTCAATAATAATTTTAATATTATGAAGATTATGCCGTATTCATTACATTTCAAAGTCCCAATTATTATGGTATTTTATAATTCCGTCAAAATGACAATGGGCTCATTATTCACTTCACACTTTTATGAATTAACTTGCGTCTATTAGAACTTTTTATCGAGAAGCCAAAAGCTATTTATCAAAAAGAGAAAAAATATAATATGGATAATATGGCTACTATACACAACTTACATTAAGGCCCACAAATTCTCTGCTCACTTCGGACAGCACATTTCATACACTCATCGCGTTATAATAAAATTCTTAGCTATAAATAAATATTTAACCTATGATATGACGTAAAGTACAAAAATGTTTTATTTTTTTCTATACATTGACACTTGATAAGGCAAGCTATACAATTACTTACTTAAACAACAGAAATTAACAAATATATAATTGTAAAAAGTAACGGTCTAATTGTCTTCATATAGAAGATTAGATGATAAAAAAATGAGAAAAATACTTTTTGGTACGTATCGGATCATTCCACATAGATTTAAAGTTTTCAATAATAATAATGCTAATCAATTACATTTTTTATTAAACCTAATTACAAAATATAATATTAGTTGTTACATGTTGTATTTCTGTATATGTAAGGTAATATATCACTGGTTGTAAGTAACAGTTTATTAAAGACCTACAGTTGACCATGTATGAGGTCTCTTCAAAGCAGAAAGGAGATATTATGTTCATATAACAAACTGGAGTTAGCTTTGCTCAAATCCTCATTTGTATGAAAACAAATTTCTCCTTTATCTTTGCTTTGGTAGAAACCCGTCCTTATTCTTTCCTTCATAAAGGTATACAACACAACTTCCTGGTGTCATTTTGATGCAAAAGCCAAAAATTAAGAAACCAAATTAATAAAAAAAAATTTTGCCCTACGGCGGCTTTAATATGACTAGGTTTAATTAAATTGAACAACAGCAAAAGTTTCTGGAAAAAATATTTAATGATACATAGTGATTATTTTCTAATTAGTGTTTATATTCTTAAAAATTCAACAATTATTCGTTCAGATTGCAATATTGTAAATGCAATTTGAAAAAATACTAGAACAAAATTTTCAAAGATACATAATCACTTCTGTCTTCTTTCTTTCTTTACTTTTCCATTACTATTTTGTGTATAAAATTATCCAATTTGTACACGTAATACATCATGCATTTTTCTATTTTGATTACTTAAATTGTAAAATTTGTGCATAATATAAAACTTACTTATTTCTTATAAGGTACGGGTAAAGGTATAATATGACACAAATGTACAAAATATAGTATATAAAGATGTAAGTAACCATTAAATTTTAATTAAATGCAAAAAAAGTCTTATAAAATGGCATTAGTATATATATTATCACTGAGATTCTGATTTGAGTATAAAACTTTACAAATTGCACAATTCCTAATTAAAAAGAAGACTAACCCATAATAATTTTATTTCAAACATGAGATTTCAATAATAATACAAAACACACCAGCATATTATCAAATTTATAGTAAACTTTTCTCTAATTTTTTTTTATATATTTGCTTTTATAACAAAACGAAACATTAGCTAATATTTATCACTGAACAAATGGTCATGGCAAAACAAAATAATATATGCCATTATACTGAACCCTATTTTTACTTAAAAATGTAAGAAATAAAGGAATGGCATTGATGCATTCAGTCACATGAGAAATAATTTCTCTTCAACAGCAGAGTTATGCTGCTAAATAACATGGGTATACTGTGTGAGCATGTTCCTTCCCCGTTGAAGTGGACCCATTCATTATATTGCAATATAACATATCTGCAATTATAACACATCTACAGCGTGGCTCTACTTCGTTAAATATAAAATATGAGTAATTGCATTTTTTATAAATTATTATGTTCAGTTTCTATGTATGTGTATGATTGTGCTGCTACAATAAATATATTTCTGTTCCGTTTCATTATAAATTCAAAATCAATAAATTCAATGGCATTCCACCGATAATTTTGACAGGTACGAGCACTCGGCTAGTTCCAACAGGCGACACCGTGCTGTCAAGTTGACAACTCAAAGTCCGAATGTCATACGAGCCTGTAGTCGTCCCTGTCAGTGAACTCTTCCTGTCAAACAGACGTTTCAGAATTCAACCGTAGAACAAACCTGTTGCTCTTAGGATCAACAACCTCTTCTGTCAAACTAAACTTTGGCAGTTGTTTAATGGTGCATATTAAAGAGATGTCACCTTGTCGGAGTTGGAACTCGATGTTATCGGCTAGAGGTCTGGCGAGAAGCTCGTCGGAGATCAGAGACCAGCGCTGTACTGGTCTGGCCTCCTGCTCTGCGGACAAGACCGGGCCCTCGACGAGGAACGGCTCGAGAAAAGCCCGCGGCGACGCGTCTTGAGATAGACAACGCGCTAAATGTGCCAATACCTACAATAAAAAAAAATTATATACTATGTGATAATCTACTATCAAAGTTCACTGCTCAACTATGAGTCTCCCATCGATTAATAATAATATAATAATTAAACTTTTTTTTTTTTCGACCAACAATAACCATAGATGATAGATTGTTAGTAAAACTTACTTAGCCTAATGTTAGTATAAAATAAAATAGAAGTTAATAATAAAATGTTAGTCGCAATGGTACTTATCCTATATTAGTAATTTAACCTACATCCAGCCTTACATAGCAAACACCAGATGGGATTCTTCTGGTGCTGGTGTGTGCACCATTCCAAGTACTCCAGAGCGGGCTATCCAGCTTCACAGCCAATGCGGTCAGAAGGGTGTTGGAGCTGCTCAATAGCCTACTCATCATGGACGCGGCACGCTTGCCTCATAAGGGAGATATTTGCCTTAGTTGCCATGATTGGCAGGAGGGTTTTCAACTGCAGTTTTTTTAGTTGCCTCTTACAGCATCCACGGGATGGCACAAGGTAGTGGATTCTCATATGCTACCCTACACGGCAATTTTATTTAAAAGCAGGTCAATATCCTACAATACAAGATAATATTGATAATAGAGAGCACTTCGCAAATGAATTTACCACACTAAGTCACACATTTAACCAGGTCTCAAATCACTTAAAATGCATTGTGCATACGGTATTTATTTAAACTATGAATTTCATTTAATGATTTCTCATTTACACAAATACTACACATGGGATAAAACTAATTTTATTTTATCGCGTTTAACTTTAACTTTTTTTAATTCCCGACGTTTCGGACACTACAATATCCATTCATAGTTAAAACTTCAAACCCAAGCATATCTACTGCTTGCAGTAGCTCACTAAGTGCTCGCGAAGTCTTGACTTCAAGATACTGTAAGTTCATCTGCGTAGATCGGATCAAAAATTAATAATGAAAAATTGAAGGCATCCTTTGTTAACTATAATATTAAGACGTCATATACCTCAGTCCCCCATCAATTAAAAGGGAATTAAACGTTAAAATTAAATGCGATAAAATCCGTAAAATTTGTTTTTTTTCCATACGAATTTCATTATTTATAATCTGATTGCTTCAACAACTCACCGAGTCAGCAGAGTGTCTGGGCTGCTGTCTTGTGGCTCGTAGGTACTTCTGGAGCGCGCGCGCTAAGGAAGGAAACACAGCTTGTGCGGCTTCACGGGGCCCCAATGACCCACCTGCGAAAAATGGAAAAGATAATAAAAAAATAAATAGGAGCAAGTTCTAATGGCAACTTAATGCACGCGGAATTACTGTCGTATTAACGCTCAAACAATGGTTTGAAGATGTTTCTTAAATAATATAATGTTATGTATATGCCTATATATTTACTATGCATGCATGCATATGTAAATATATTTAAAAAAACACAGAACGGGGCACTCACCGAGGCTCTGTAAATACAGAGCGGGGCACTCACCGAGGCACTGCTCACTCAGAGCGGGACACTCACCGCGGCACTGCGAAGCACTACTTACACAGAGCAGGGCACTCACCGGGGCACTGCTCACACAGAGCGGGGCACTCACCGCGGCACTGCGAGGCACTACTTACACAGAGCGGGGCACGCACCGGGGCACTGCTCACACAGAGCGGGGCACGCACCGGGGCACTGCTCACACAGAGCGGGGCACGCACCGGGGCACTGCTCACACAGAGCGGGGCACGCACCGGGGCACTGCTCACACAGAGCGGGGCACGCACCGGGGCACTGCTCACACAGAGCGGGGCACGCACCGGGGCACTGCTCACACAGAGCGGGGCACGCACCGGGGCACTGCTCACACAGAGCGGGGCACGCACCGGGGCACTGCTCACACAGAGCGGGGCACTCACCGGGGCACTGCTCACACAGAGCGGGGCACTCACCGAGGCCGGCGGAGCGCACGCGGCGCACGTGCGCGAACGCGTCCTCCGCGGCGGAGAGCAGGCGCGCGCGGCACTGCGAGGCACTACTTACACAGAGCAGGGCACTCACCGGGGCACTGCTCACACAGAGCGGGGCACTCACCGCGGCACTGCGAGGCACTACTTACACAGAGCGGGGCACGCACCGGGGCACTGCTCACACAGAGCGGGGCACGCACCGGGGCACTGCTCACACAGAGCGGGGCACGCACCGGGGCACTGCTCACACAGAGCGGGGCACGCACCGGGGCACTGCTCACACAGAGCGGGGCACGCACCGGGGCACTGCTCACACAGAGCGGGGCACGCACCGGGGCACTGCTCACACAGAGCGGGGCACGCACCGGGGCACTGCTCACACAGAGCGGGGCACGCACCGGGGCACTGCTCACACAGAGCGGGGCACGCACCGGGGCACTGCTCACACAGAGCGGGGCACTCACCGGGGCACTGCTCACACAGAGCGGGGCACTCACCGAGGCCGGCGGAGCGCACGCGGCGCACGTGCGCGAACGCGTCCTCCGCGGCGGAGAGCAGGCGCGCGCGGCACTGCGAGGCACTACTTACACAGAGCAGGGCACTCACCGGGGCACTGCTCACACAGAGCGGGGCACTCACCGCGGCACTGCGAGGCACTACTTACACAGAGCGGGGCACGCACCGGGGCACTGCTCACACAGAGCGGGGCACGCACCGGGGCACTGCTCACACAGAGCGGGGCACGCACCGGGGCACTGCTCACACAGAGCGGGGCACGCACCGGGGCACTGCTCACACAGAGCGGGGCACGCACCGGGGCACTGCTCACACAGAGCGGGGCACGCACCGGGGCACTGCTCACACAGAGCGGGGCACGCACCGGGGCACTGCTCACACAGAGCGGGGCACGCACCGGGGCACTGCTCACACAGAGCGGGGCACTCACCGGGGCACTGCTCACACAGAGCGGGGCACTCACCGAGGCCGGCGGAGCGCACGCGGCGCACGTGCGCGAACGCGTCCTCCGCGGCGGAGAGCAGGCGCGCGCGGCACTGCGAGGCACTACTTACACAGAGCAGGGCACTCACCGGGGCACTGCTCACACAGAGCGGGGCACTCACCGCGGCACTGCGAGGCACTACTTACACAGAGCGGGGCACGCACCGGGGCACTGCTCACACAGAGCGGGGCACTCACCGGGGCACTGCTCACACAGAGCGGGGCACTCACCGAGGCCGGCGGAGCGCACGCGGCGCACGTGCGCGAACGCGTCCTCCGCGGCGGAGAGCAGGCGCGCGCGGCACTGCGAGGCACTACTTACACAGAGCAGGGCACTCACCGGGGCACTGCTCACACAGAGCGGGGCACTCACCGCGGCACTGCGAGGCACTACTTACACAGAGCGGGGCACGCACCGGGGCACTGCTCACACAGAGCGGGGCACGCACCGGGGCACTGCTCACACAGAGCGGGGCACGCACCGGGGCACTGCTCACACAGAGCGGGGCACGCACCGGGGCACTGCTCACACAGAGCGGGGCACGCACCGGGGCACTGCTCACACAGAGCGGGGCACGCACCGGGGCACTGCTCACACAGAGCGGGGCACGCACCGGGGCACTGCTCACACAGAGCGGGGCACGCACCGGGGCACTGCTCACACAGAGCGGGGCACGCACCGGGGCACTGCTCACACAGAGCGGGGCACTCACCGGGGCACTGCTCACACAGAGCGGGGCACTCACCGAGGCCGGCGGAGCGCACGCGGCGCACGTGCGCGAACGCGTCCTCCGCGGCGGAGAGCAGGCGCGCGCGGCACTGCGAGGCACTACTTACACAGAGCAGGGCACTCACCGGGGCACTGCTCACACAGAGCGGGGCACTCACCGCGGCACTGCGAGGCACTACTTACACAGAGCGGGGCACGCACCGGGGCACTGCTCACACAGAGCGGGGCACGCACCGGGGCACTGCTCACACAGAGCGGGGCACTCACCGGGGCACTGCTCACACAGAGCGGGGCACTCACCGAGGCCGGCGGAGCGCACGCGGCGCACGTGCGCGAACGCGTCCTCCGCGGCGGAGAGCAGGCGCGCGCGGCACTGCGAGGCACTACTTACACAGAGCAGGGCACTCACCGGGGCACTGCTCACACAGAGCGGGGCACTCACCGCGGCACTGCGAGGCACTACTTACACAGAGCGGGGCACGCACCGGGGCACTGCTCACACAGAGCGGGGCACGCACCGGGGCACTGCTCACACAGAGCGGGGCACTCACCGGGGCACTGCTCACACAGAGCGGGGCACTCACCGAGGCCGGCGGAGCGCACGCGGCGCACGTGCGCGAACGCGTCCTCCGCGGCGGAGAGCAGGCGCGCGCGGCACTGCGAGGCACTACTTACACAGAGCAGGGCACTCACCGGGGCACTGCTCACACAGAGCGGGGCACTCACCGCGGCACTGCGAGGCACTACTTACACAGAGCGGGGCACGCACCGGGGCACTGCTCACACAGAGCGGGGCACGCACCGGGGCACTGCTCACACAGAGCGGGGCACTCACCGGGGCACTGCTCACACAGAGCGGGGCACTCACCGAGGCCGGCGGAGCGCACGCGGCGCACGTGCGCGAACGCGTCCTCCGCGGCGGAGAGCAGGCGCGCGCGGCGCTTGCGCACGCGGCGCTCGCGCTCGGCCTCCTCGTAGTAGCGCTCGTTGTGCGCCGAGCCCGAGTCGCGCCGCCGCCCGCCGCTGCCCGTGCACGACCCCGTCGCCGATCTGCACACCCAAGCGCCGCATACATGCACCACTTTTTTTTAACAGTAATTTATATCCTACGTTCAAAGGAGTTTCAGAGAAAATTTCCAAGAAATTCTGCGTAGTGGCCGTGTAAGAATATCCACTACCCCATATCATCCCGTGGGTGTCATAAAAGGCGACAGAGCGCAACAAATCAGAAAATGGGCTGCAGCGTGTTCCTAATATCACTAAGCAATTAGTTCACTGTACTGTTACACAATGTTGATGTACTTCACAAGTCTCTGAAGTTAACTTAAATTTCATTACAGCCTATCAGTCATCATCATTCATCATCATTACAGCCCTACACAAGTCCAGTGCTGAACATAGGTTAAGAAATTCGACAAAGCATGATCCTGAGCCACCTAAACATGGATCTTCCCCATAGATTGCCTCATAAGAGGGATATTTGTCTTAGTGGACAGACCTTGGCAGGCAGGTTAGCAGCCGCAGTTTTTTATCATTTTGAGTTGTTATGAAGAGGATGCTTACATCATCTACATCTTCTGTTTAAGTTTTCCTGTGTCACCTCCTACGACACCCATGGGATGATATGGGGTATTTCACTCTAGACCGCTGAATGATGCCATAAGATATTCCACTACCCGATACAGTAATAAATTCAATAGAGTTATTAAATAAGTTACATAGTTTAATACTAGCATATTAAGTAATACAAGTAATAATACTGACCGTGCTTGCCCTGGCGGAGCATTTGTATTTGAATCCACTTCATAGAACTTGATACTAGACTGCGCTTTTCTTTGTGATTTTGATATTGGAATTTTTTCCAAATAAGGATTGTATATCGGAAATTCTGTGTAATACTTTTGTAGAACCCACACTGCAGCTCTTTGAATACTTAATTGTCCAATAGCATAAGATCTACTTTCACCATCTGGACTCCTTACTATTTTGATGTAATAAACAGGCTCCATATGTCGTATTTCTATTAAAATTACAGCTATATAATGTATAAAAAGCAATGTGTCTGCAAAACTTGATACATAAGACACTAATGCATTGTAATCCACTGCCTCCTCACCAAGCGTCAATGCTTTTGTTGCTTCTGTAATCTGTACTATGTAAAATAACCAGTATGAAAAACTACAGACAGCAAGAATGACTAAAGTCATAGCTCTGAACACGAATATCCTTGGTAAGATTGCATTCCGTGGCCTTAAAAAGACAGCCCACACTCCAATTGCTAAAAGAACTAATTTAAATGCTAATGATAATAAAATTCCTTTACATTCAGCTGTACAGGACAATAGCTGTATCCTTTGGCTAGGTTGAATAGCTATGTTATCTGTCAATCCAGGAAAAAATCCAATTTTTGGTAAAACAACCATTGCTAAGGGGCTCACAAAAGAGACAAAGGAAAGTCCTAAAGCTATAGTTGTGCCAAAGTATCTTGAACAGACAAATCCAAGTCCACTATCCGACTCTACAGGCCAATTACTGACATCCTCCATAGACTGTGAGCCTTCAGAAGTGTTTCCCGTGACAGCTGTTGTGTTCTCTCCCCAGTTCTCGTCCTGCGGAAGTATTTGTACTTCAATTACTTCTTGACCATCCCGGCCTATTTCTGGATTTATATTAACACTGGTTTGAAATGGTGCCATAGTGTTATCTCCACAGTCTTTTCTTTGAGATTTTGTACTCCTGGAAAAATATATAAACACAATTAGTAGCATGAAAAAGGTAAAAAAATATTTAGATTTGATATTGAATTGATATTAAACCTATATCCTATATCTTCTTTTGCTTTAATAATAATAATAACTGGTATTTATTTTCTCCCACATATTACAATCAGTACATCACAAAAAAAAAAACTTAGTAACAATGAACTATACAACTAAATAACAGCTATAAAAATTAACTAAATAAGATCTAGGTGGGAGACTGGTGCCCAAACTAGGTTGCCCTGTGCTATGGGATCACCAGGCCCCTCCCTCAACAGAAGTTATAATGCTGTAAAACATTTATAATCAATACAGCTACGTGTAATAAAATTACATTAGTACTTTTATGACTACACATCCAAATTTTATATTTAAATTAATATTCATTAAATCTACTATACCTAAAACATTATATGGACAAGTTGCAAAGTTTATTGTACAATTGTGTGTTATTTGATAAAGTTAGTACTTTTTTTTTAAGGGCATTGGAAAAAATCCTTGTTTATACTTTTGATATCAAATAAAAACAAAAAAGTATAAACCTTCATGTCTTTCAACAATGAAGGTGCCAAAATGTGATAAAAATCTGTCATACCTAAATAAGTTTAATTTCTTTAGCCATTACAGCAGATTTTCAAGATTTATTACTAAAGTTACTCCACTCCAGATTCATTAATTCATTCATGGGGCTACGCTTAAACAAGTTTTATCTAATAAACTAAGTGTAATTGGTGAACAACCCAGAACAGAATGTTCTTCTAAATTTTATAGATAACTATTGAGGTAAGTAGATATTTTTATTATTGTCAATAATGTTAAAAGAACTTTATATAAACAATAAGCAACGCTATACAACTAATTCAAAGATTGTTTATGTTAAAAAGCCAAAACTGGTTTACATATTAGAACATTATTATAAAAACAATGTGAAAGATATTACTTAGAATAATTTTATCTAAGAAAAATTTTCTTAGATAAAATTATTTTAAGATTTTAATAATAACAACACATTGAAAATATAATTAGAATAAACAAACATGTCAAGGTGTTCTCAACGTGCTAAAATGTATCTTGAAACAGTATTTACCGTGTACTTCTATGAGTGTGCTGTCTGTGCCGGGAACTGCGCCGTGATCGGCTGCTTAGTTCCGACCTCACAGATTCAGTCTCCATCGTTAATTTTTACAGTTATCACTGGCTCCCGGTCCTTACCCATGAGTAATTACATGGATGAACCTGCAATAATCCACCATGAAATCAAACCACCGAACCAGAGCAATTAAAATGCTTGAACTCGACGAAGGAATGTCCGTAGAGTAAATCACAATTTCTTGAAATAAAATCGATAAAATTGTCATTTCACCGGATAGGTAACTTAACTAATTGTTTGTCATAGTAACGAATACGGAATTTACCATTGCACTATTGATGTTTTATGAGCATTTTCTAATAGGAGCGTCTCTCACAGATATCAGTCAAATGAAATTATCACAAACTATATAGAAACACTAGAAATTATGTTGAAGATTATGCGATCTTAGCAAACGTATCACTTAATTTATTATTTGTCCTTATCTATGCTTCACTAAATGTGATATCGTTTCTCTTTCTACTTCAATTTAGACGACATCTTCATTTGTTAATGTTATCACAGATGTGTAGTAACGTTCCGAAATTTGATTATTTTTTAACTTTTTATAAAATATTTTTTTAATATTCTAATGCGTAAATAATTTTTTATTCGTTTAAGTATATTATACTCTAAGATTACATATTGCATTCATTATATTGTAATAACATATTTATAGTAATTATTGCATTAATATTACAATTTGGCGGCTATTTCAAAAATTTAGTTCATTAGATTACATGAAAAGATAAGTGATAAGATAATTTGTTGCATATAGATAACTCATTGACCACCTCATTGTAGACATGAATTTATCGTAGTTATTGTTTATCGTCTAAAATATGGAGGCTCAACGTAATATAAACGTTAACCTAGCAGAGAGAGGTGATCGAATTGAGGATCTTCATTTGGACAGAGTAGTGGCGTCTCAACCAGAAATTGGTCCCACGCCTCCAGATGGAGGATACGGGTGGCTTATTGTTTTTTCTGCAGCTATGTATCACATAACTGTACCTACAGTTTTGAGTTTATACGGACTCATTATTTTAAAGGCAATCAGAGAAGAGGATCATGATGAAGGAGAAGTATTAAAACTATGGGACATGGACATAGCTTTAGTTCCAGTGATAATGGTGATTATAAGACTTTTATTAGAGTCATGGTGCAGGGCCATGGTGAAGATTTTTAACATGCCTCGATTCATTGCTCTTTCTGGCCTCTGTTTAACTGTAGCTGGTGTTTTACTATCAAGTTATTCGACAAATGCATACAGTAATGACCACATAGTCAATATTTTCTCTGGAATATTTGCAGGTAATTTTTGTACACCTATATTAAGTATGTTCATCAATTGTTACAAGTGTCTTCTTTATTTTGAAGCAATGTGATTGAAAATTATCTTTTTTTGGAAAAAACTTTCGGAACTACGTCATTTGCAATACCATTAATTAATATTAAGTATGTACCTTATTATTGATAAGTGTAGGTGGGTCATGATATATTTCAATAAGTTCTATTATGTATAGACATTATATGCCTATAATAATACGCCTGTAATATCTGCTGCTCGAGACAGGGATAAAAAATTCGATCTTGGTAAGTTGATGATTACTTATTGGATTTTCCATTTCTTCTCAATGACTGAGTTTTGGTGTTTATAAGCACTTTGAGATTATTTCGTTATCCAACAGATAACATATACTAAATTATATCAGTTTACTATGTTATAGTATATCCGTACTTATTATCCGATTTTCAGTGCATACATCCTATCGACACGATGTCAGTTCACCTTGGGTGTAGAGGCACAGAAATTTACTACTATAATACCGAAAATCGCATAATTTGTTACGTAAATTAAAAACTGTTTGGATATATTTCGAGTGAAACGAAGTTAATTAATGCATTTACGGTCAGATAAGATTAGGAAATTGAATTTTAATTGATGTGCCTTTAATCAATCTGTGGATCATGGAAGATCACATTTCTTACACCAATAGATTTTTTTTAACATCTGTAATATACCTATTGAGAATCTCCAACTTTGTTTAGTGACTATGAAACTGTATGATAATATTTTTAATAACTGAAGTATCTGCACATAAAATAGCAAAGTTATTCTCTGCCTCTTCTCTACCAGAGCTGGTAAGACGGGATTTGACGATTTCCGCAAATAAATGTCATTTCAGTGTTATTGTCCGCCAGTCAAGTGTGGCAACTATGTCAAACTAGGGGAGATCCCTTATGACACAATCTTTGGAGGAGACCTATTTTCAGCAGTGGATTTGTGACAGGCTGTAACGGTAATTCTTAGGTCACTCAAGGGATAAAATGGGGCGGAGGCGTATTTTATATGCTCACGATATAAAATAATAAACTTTAAACTAAAAGACCCATCCCGTGGGTGCTATAAATGTTGTCTAATTAAAATCTAAGAAAAAGTATTAAGCAGGGAAAGGACCACGCTCTCGCAGAATACCAGCGTAAAAAAGTAGCTTAATAATGTGTTTCGTATGGTGAGTGTAGAGAACCGGAGACCCGAGAACCGGAGACCCTTTTTACTGGAAACGAGGCATTCCATCGTAGTCCTCAGGGGTGAGGACGCATCTGCATTTTGATTATTAATCGAAGATAAATGTAGATTTCTATGGGCAACATCATTCACTTACCATCAGGTGGACTGTGTGCTCGTTTGTCACCCACATTCTATAAAAAAAAAACCTTTTAAACGCGATTATATTAATGTAATAAAGCGATCATCAATCCGTTCCCAAATGTTACAATTCACGATGCGGATGACGCCTCTCAAATTGTAAATAATGGTAATGAAACCAAAATTGTAATATTCGATACGATTCCATTTCAGGTATCGGCTGCGCCTTAACTGGTCAACAGACTGATATAATCATAACGCACTACTTCAGAGAAAAGCTTACAATGGCGCAACGTATAGTGCGTATGGCCCCTTCTGTGGGCAACTGCCTGGTTCCGATTCTAGTGGGCTATCTGTGCACAATGTACACTGGTGATGTTGTCGTAATGATATATGGAGCTATCATGATGCAGAATTGCCTGTTTTTAGCTGCGTATACCCGCCCTTTATACATAGAAAAGGTAATCCGAACCACATATAACATGCTGCGAGACGCGGCAGAGGACGAAGACGAAGTGATCTTCTCAAACCAACGTCAGACCGAAACTCAAAATCAGGTTCAAACCAATCCAACGGAGGCCACGACAGACCCTGCACATGATGATGATAATACTGACGTGGTTGTTTTTAAATCGAGGAAGGACGCGAAAGAGATACTCGATCCATCCGTCGAGCTTCGAGAGAACAGATCTTCACAGGAAGCAAGGTTCTCTTCAGATTTCAGCACTATGTTCACGGATGCTCCTGCAAATCGATTTTCTTCAGACTTCGGAGCTTTGGACGTGAATAGCTATAGTCGAATTAGCGGATATCGGGAGTTAACGAGCATAGAGCAAGAAGTCCCAAACCCCCAACCATTGTATCGGGAGACTACCATTAATGCACCGCAGAATAGTTTAATCTTTTCCGCAGAAGTAACACCTGGAACAGCTAGAAGAACGGCGTCCTTAAAGAAGAATTTTATTACCGTCGTGAATATGCTGCAAGATTTAAATTTTTACTTATATACACTCTTACACTTGTGTACAACTTTTTCAATTCTCGTGCTAGGAGTTGTGTTTCCGCCTCTAATATGGGAACAAAATCCATCAATGAACATCTGGTCGGTTAGTATAATTTATTTTTGATTTTTTATTATATCGTTTTCGATTTACACTGACAAACTTTTGAGGTTTCGTGTCTAATTCAGTAAAACGGAATACTTAAGGAAACACCTCAGTTTCTGCCTGTCTCGCACAGAGATTTTTCTCTGAGAGAGTATCATGTATTATAGTCGTAGCTTTAAAATGCAGTTACGCAAAACAGTGGGTGTTCAATCACCAAAATTTGTAGGCCTCATCGTGCAGGGTTTGTGACTCTCTGGGTGAACTCGCAGTTAAATAATGTTGAATTTATCCGTTTATTTGTACAAATTCACAAAAAAACAATCGGACAACAAGAAATCTTTAAACTAGATAACAGTTTCGCCTACAACATCAACTACACACTACCTCCCAAAATTTTTAATTCTTATACCGCTCGCGCATCTGTTACTCATACATTGCCATATACAAGACAAGAATAAATTTTGTCTACATAAATATTAACAATGAAAATATAAATAAATTTATAATTTAAAATACAAACATAAAATAATAGAAAATAAAACTTAACATAACGCTGCGTCGCCCACAGGGTTTAAAACGCTCTTTTGGGGATCATTCCACAAAATTCTCAATCCAAAAAAATGGAGGTGTCACAGACACAAGGACAATCATAATACGCGCAGAATTTAAAAAATAATAATTTTAGCTTTTGCAAAAATATTGGCCGGCGGGGATCGAAGCCCGGTTGTTTGCGTACTGTGAAATTCTCCTCTTAAATAACAAAGTGACTAGTACATCTCAAACAAATGCTGTATTAGAGACTAGATTTTTAAAAATTTATTTGCTTATATCCACGAAATAAAATAAGTGTCTTACCTAGTCTGAAGAGCACCTCCCTCCCTCAATTGCGTGCACTTTCCCCGTCATCAGTAATCCCAGCACCACCACACCGGTAAAGAATAACTAACGTTGATAATACGATACGTGTTTCGGTTTGGCCTTTACATGAAGCATCCTCAGGTGAAGTAGACTGCGGTGGCTGACTTAGCGGTGATGGTGCTGGGATTAGTGGTGACGAGGATAGGGAGAGCGAGGAGCGGGCTCGTCAGACTATATAAAACACATACTTTTACTTCATTACGCGGATATAAGCAAATACATATCAATCAACAACTGCTATATTACATAATATATTTTTAATTAAGACACAGTATTCCTTCCTACAAATGCATTCATTTGTCTGGAATTGCTTCAAGACCATTAACTTTGTATGGATCACCAGTGAGCCTAGCGTCCCGTTGGTACATTATGCGATTCCATCTGTCGTCCATTGTATGCCTGTAGTGATTTCCTAAAGTCAAATTATGTATATGATATAGACCCCATCCAGGCAATCCTAAAGCCGCTGTTATGATAAAAAAGTGAGTAATATTTCGTAGGCACATATTTCTCTTTAAAATTGAGAAAATCAGAACTCAGAACTACGTAGGTACTATAATACTATTCATACTATTTCTCTTTGCAAAACTCCTGTCATAGATAATATACTACTATAATAAATTTCCGCAAAGTAACACCTGATGCAATTAATTAAATGCTATATATTGATTTTTTTGTGAGTCAAAAGTATCATAAGACTCTGGAGACGATGACAAAACTAATAATACCCCACACAGACTACTGGATGTTACAAATAAATAAAGACATGCATTTTTACATACTCGAAAAACAACCATCTTTCTGGGGCAGTCGGTTAAAAAATAGAAACTTTATGTATCATATTGATAATATAATTTTTGCCTAGGTTTCCACACTCATAGCTGTAGCGCATGGCGCAGCCTTGTGCTTCATAATGCTGTGCGTTGTTCTGCCGAAGTCCATCAATCAAAAGGCGAGGTTGTGCGCAGCGTTCTGTGCATGTGGCGCTCTGGGCTTCTATGGTAGGTACCTACAGCAAAAAAAGTATTAAATTTAGAATTTATTAAGAAATATTAAAATGCCATCCAAAACATAACTTGTAAAAAAAAACTAAGTCTCGCAAATCAGTTCTTATACCGTAAAAAGTTGTGAGATCCATGTAATACCAAGTCGGTTAATTTATTCAGTCCCTACTTAAGGGTTCTTCTGTCTTAAATTATTACATTATTAGCTAACCTAACAACATCTTATAGTGACCATATCAATACTAAAATCTTTTATATTTTAAATAAATAGATTGAATTGGCCATCGCATGAAAACACAATGTATCTCTCAAGTAATACATATTATTTTAAACTAGCTGTGCCCCGCGGTTTCACCCGCGTCATCACGTGTCCGAGGTGCGCGAGCAAGCTCAAGCAAGCGTCGTTCGCGCGCCCAGTCAAGTATTGAATTATTTTAATTTTACATTATCTCTTAAACTATCCGTCCAAATAACATGTTATAAGGAACAAAGTTTATCTTCATAAAATTGTCTTGATGATGAAGTAACTTTCGTTCGTAAGGATAAATATATATAATAAAAGACTAATAATAACGCTCATAAATCACTTTTAAATTTTCAATATTTTTTTGTCACAAAATACCAAATTATGGCTTATGTATAAGAAATAGACATATGGTATCGCGGACTTTTTTTTAGACGGAGTAAAGATCTATATTTTTCTAGAACATTGTATTTACGTATCCCTAACGATATCACCAGCGTACGCGGATAAATCATTTCGGGAGTGCTTTTTCTTCTGACTTGCTTAACAAATATCCATATTTAAGGCTAGCTGAGTTATATAGCTTAATGCTAGCCTATACTATTCCACATGAATCAGGCTATAATATAAAAAGAATTTTTCAAATCGGACTGGTAGTTCCAGAGATTAGCGCGTTTAAACAAACAAAAAAACTCTTCCGCTTTATTAACTTCCTTCTGCGTAGCATTGAAAGGAAGTTAATGGTTTAGCTGGCAGTCTGTTAGTCTGTATGCCGGCACGATAACTTCCGTTCCACTGGACCGATTGACTTTAAATTTGGTATGTGGATACCTTGAGGTAGTAGCTCGGTCGAGTTTGAATTTGGGTCCTGTAGGTCAAAGGGCACCAGAGATATAGGATTCACGCAGAAGGAAGTTGTTTTTCTTGAATTTACATTCAACTCGTTATATTAGTATAGATTAGATTGTTTAGTGCGATTGCCAAGTCAATATATTTATTTATAATTTAAAATTTTGTACAGCCGACTTCAATATAAGTTATTTAAGAATAACTCAAAAACTATCGGTCTGACCTACATATGGGACCACACGAGAACTATCAGATTTCATATAAAAAAAGGAATCATCGAAATCGGGTCACCCAGTACAAAGTTATGAGGTAACACACATAAAAAAAACATACAGTCGAATTGAGTACCGTCTCCTTTTTGGAAGTCGTAAGATGTTGTTAGGTTAACTAATTATGTAATAACTTAAGACAGAAGGACCCATGGATCTCACCACTTTTTACGGTATAAGAACTGATTTGCGAGACTTGTTTTTTTTACAAGTTGTGTTTTTGATGGCATCTCATTTCTTTTTGTAGATAGTTATATCCACGTACCTATCTACACCTATTATTCCATTATATTATACATATATAGGTACACTGATTTATTCACTGCAAATGTAACTTTATAATCCTATATATTTATATGGGATTACAAAGTTATTTATGCAGTTGGTGTATCTCGAAAACTGGACCAAAATTGTAAAATATTGTAGTTTTTCCTTGATTTATATACTAAACAATAATTGTATTCCAAATTTGAAGCTTCTATGTCTACTAGAAGTGCCTTAGAGTTTTGATGATCGGTCAGTCAGTGAGTGACAAAATTAAGAAACTTTGACTAGTTACAATTCTTAAACTTCTGGTTCAAATTTAATTAAATTTGAAATATACCGAGTTTTTACAATGCCTACTTGGATACTGAAAATTCAGGCGTCTAGTTTCATCCACATCGAAATTATCGGGTTTCGAAAATGGCCTGAACCGCTTCGAGAAAAGGATGGTACGGCCGTGCCGCTTTTTTGCTTGACTTGGTGGGGGCACTGCCGTGTCCCCAGAATATTTTTCGGCGTCTGTCTTTCCTGATTACAATTTGGGTCTTCAAAACAACTTCATCATTACTTATTACCAGTAATAAAGCATTGGCTTGTAAGAAAAAACGTAGTTAAGTGGCGGAGCACACGCCTCCTTTTTCCTGAGATCGTTGTGAAGCAAGCTGAAAACAAATCTCCTCTTTCCTGGCACCTGGTAAGAGTTAGGTGTGATGTTTCAATGCATGTTAGCGTAATTTTCATGCCCTCTAACTATTTAAAATTTCCTAGTCATGCAGGTTTGCTGGGTGTTTGATGGTTGAATGAAAATAGCAAGTCGAACTCATGTACCTACTATGAAATTTTAAGGTGAGCTCTTCATCTGATCTACTGTGGCACTTTAGTAACGAAGCAAAGAAAAGGAGAATCAAGAAATTTTACATTTAATTGACCGACCCAGCTGGAATCACCAATCAGATTCATATCTTACATTCTACTCTCGCATTTTCAGGTTTAGGTAATAAAATACCTACCTACATCTGATAATTTTAAAAAATAACCTAATATAATAAAGTTATTTTTTAACTATCTAATAATGTAGAACTACAGTGTAGCTATATTATGGTTTTAGCATGAATACGACAGCTCGACCGGGAAAGATCCACGCTCTCACAAAATACCAGCGTGAAATAGCAGCTTAATGCTGCTGTGTTTCGTATTGTGAGTGTAGGGAACCGGAGACTCTTTTTACTGGAAACGAGGTATTTCATCTTAGTCCTCAGGTGATAACGCATTCTGGAATTGATTCTTAATCGAGGACAGATGTACTTAGATGTCTATGGACCAAAGCATCACTTACCTGTTTGTGAACTGTGTGCTCGTTTGTCACCCTTATTCAATAAAAAGAAACATGAACATTTTTTCGTTCAAGGTATAACTCTGACAGAACAGAACAAAAGTTTCCTCGTTGTGTGGTGCATGTTCGCGAGTTTTTCTACAGCAGCCTCCAATATCCTCGAACAGCCTCTCTACAACAGCACGCTTAACGAATTCGACACAACAGCCACTATGACCACTGCCAACGTCGTGGTCGCCGTGTCGATCATGATCTGGTCACTTGCATACAACTACGAGTACAGGACCTGCTTCTTTATAGCCAGTCTCCTTCAGATTTCCACCGCCTGCGTTTTCCTCGCGTCGTCCTTTAGAAGGCGGAGACAGTAAATATTAAAGAAAAAAGAACTGGCGGTAGTGTAATGATTAAGGATTTGGAATTCGAAAGTAAAGGATTGCGAGTTCGAATCTGACATACTACTGTCAAAACAGTGGTTAATACCGTGAGTGGTTAACGTAAATGTTAATAGTGTTAATATCATTGATAGTATTCTTACAAAAAAAGATGCTCAACTATGTGCAAAAAGGTAACTCCGTATTTTTTTATTTGAAATTATGCCTTATACCAATAGGTTGAAATCGTACTAAGATATGTTTCGTATACATTATACTTATTTTCCCATTCCATTTGAAAGTTTATCATTTGAAATAATAACATTTTTATAAAAAAAGTCAAAACAAATTAATAATATAATTTTCAGTTAAAAGATTAAAGCCCCGATTACAGAAGCTAATAAATGATAATTTATTTAGTTCTTGTTTTTGAACTGTTGTTTTTTTTTTAGTTTAGTTCACCCTGCTGAGTAGTCTACGTAATTGGCAAAGTTCAAGTTAACAACTAGAATATTATTACAATAGGTACATTAAATCTTCATACGATATTTTTCCACACTTAGGGATGGTCTATAACGGATCAGCCCTGAAATTTTTAATAAAAAAGAATAATTTAAATAGTTTCAGCAGTTTTCGAGAAATCTTTGATAAAAATACATACGTCGAATAGAACTTTCACGTTTCTTTGAAACCTGTAAGAATATTATTGTCAGTTAATACCACCTATAATATAATTTATTAAAATAAGATATAAAATATGTGATTGTGATTTCTATTTTAAATTAGTAGCCAAATAATGTCGAGAAACGTTTGTGTCCAAATAGAAATATAGCTCCATGGATACCACTACTATAACATAGTACATATTTATACCTTTCCACATCCGGGGCAGGATACTTTACAGGATACGATAATACCTACATACTAGCTAAAAAAAAAACAGTGTCATTGCAATCGTTCAGGAAATCAGATAAATTCGAAAACAAATGAAAATACAACTTCGTTTTGTTATTAAATTTTATGTATAAGAGATCATTACATTTTCAATTATTAAATAAAACTATTGCTTATACACAGGGTTGTGAACTACTAATACATAATCAATTTTATTAATAATAGAGAAATTATTTTATAACTTATTATAAACATAATAATAATGCGAAGTCAAATATCCCATTTTAATACATAATATAACAACGGATAAATATTTATTTTCACAAGTGAAACAGCGCCAAAAGAAGTAAAAATACTGATGAGTAAACCTACAGGAAAATATACATATTTATATGATAAATGTTTATTATTATCTATGGCTATTGGCTATGAATTATTTGTATTTTATTTTATATTATTTGCGAGTCAACCGCCAATTAGGATATTTTTTTCAATTTTATGCAATAATTATTATTATTACATTAATTTTAAGTCATAATTTTAACCAAATAAATAATTTATAGTTAGTTGTACATTATGATATATTATGTATATTTACAATGTATTCGAATAAATAAGTTTTGTTACACAAAACGATATTTTAATATAAAAATACCCTCACAATTGTCATACCATGTAATAGGAATGTGAAAGTAAGAATAACCTTTTCAATATTTTCTTTAGTGTAACCTACAGGCGCTATGAAAACGGCAAAACCCACTCTCGAGAAATTTTATGTTGTTTGATGTCTGGTTCGAATACCAGCCAAAACAGCTTAGTGCAACACATATTTATATACATGTCTAGATCTAGGTGCGTGTAGCGCGCTATACACATATTTGAATAGGCACATTCGATTTGTTGAATAACAAAATCGACCAGACGCAACTAAATATAAAGATATTTCGAAAATCTAAATAAAATGTTAAAATTGCATCACATTTATACTAGAACCTTCAGGAAAAGCGAAGTTCTGGCCATTATATGAGTTCTGTTGAAATAAATAATTGCAGGATCGGCACGTTCAGGTTCACTTAGCGCTATTTCGCCTTTGATAAGTGAGTTTTTTCCTAGTTTGTCGATCGACAAAATCGATAGTTGATTCCTTTTTCCCCAGTTGTATGTGGACTAGAGATTAATGTTGAAGAGAGGTATATATATGGAATACTGTTCTCATATTTGGGCCAGGGAAACACAATACCAGATTCTTCCACTTTATCGCATCCAGCGAAGAGCGGCTCAAATCGTCAACGACAGAGTTCTTACTGATCGGCTCGATTCAAGAGATGTCGCATCCCTTTCGCATTTTCTGTCGCATTTACAACGGGAAGGGGTTAGAAGAATTGTTCGGATTAATTCTACCCGCCATATTCCACATACATCGCAACAAAATTCCCGTACCATCCATATCATCTGGATGCTTGGCGGTCCACCACGGTGCCATTTTCTAGCAGTTTTCTACTTCAAACGACTATTTTGTGCTTACCACAGGCGATTTTCCGGTCCGATATGACTTAGGGACCTTCAAGAAACGAGCCTTTTTAAAAGCAGGCAACTAGAGCATGCAATACCGTTATATCGTTACCGCATATTCGCGGATTTCGCACTGTATTTCAGTACCGTAAAAGCGAGATTATAGATGCGAATTTCGCGGTATTGAAAACGAACGGTATAAAACCGGAGGAACAATAGGTAAATATCTGGAGACTGTGTATAACTATCTGCTAAGCATTCCACCAACGAGCGTAGTAGCTGAGAGCATTTTCCGCTGCTGGATACATATGTAATAAAATTAGAAGTTCTTTAAATGATGAGAACATTGGATTTTACATTTTTTTCAATTTCGCAAATTTTGCGATATTACCAGTTCCAACACTGCGGTATTGAAAATATACTGCGGCAATGCATGCTCTACAGGCAACGCACCTACAATTCCCTGGTGTTGCAGTTATTTATGGGCGGTAATCGACAATTACCGTCAGGGTGAGGCGCATGCTCGTTTGTCCACCACTTCTATAAAATGTATCTGATATGTGTATAGCAAGCTTGTTATTACTACGTTTGATAATTTCAGATAATTTGCCTTCTCTGTCGAGAATTTCCATAACTTGAGGACGAGAACCCAAGAGTTTGTGTATATTTTAATCAGCACATTTTATAAACATCACCTGCTCCCCCAAAGACTACTAATAGGCTGTGGTCTTCAACTTTTCCCATATTTTGTCATCTCATCACTCCATAAAAGTGGGAGTAATACGCTCGAAAAAATTTTTCGTCTCCAGATTCACAAGTTATATGGTTCACCCATTGTTACTGATTTATTAGGTTATCAAGTAAGTTTTATTCTCCTGTGAATATTCTGGTAAGTACTGCTTGCCCTAAATTATACCTTACACCTGGTACCTGAATTCGACCAGTGGTTCCGGTCGATTACTTGCAAGGCGAAAGAGCCTAACTTAACAAGTCCATCATTTCACTGCTGTCTTCCTTTTTAACACTATTACTATTGTTATTATTTTGATTTTGAGTAGGCAGGAGAGATTCAAAAGCGGACCAGTCTTGCTTCATGCTCGTCTGGTTGTTCTGGTCGTTTGCCCATTTATTATTGAAGTTCGCATTTGTCGGTGCTGCCCATCCCGTACTCGCTGGAAGGGCAGGCTGGCTATTAAATCCTGTAGGATTATGGCTATATCCCAAGTTCAACGGTGTGGAATTCAGCATCAAACTTGTTGAACTGTAGTTAGGACTTGATTGGTTCATAGCTAAGTTGTTATGAGTAAGTGAGGGTTGGGGATTGGTCATTGTTGAAAACGGTTTTTGTGTTAATTGGTTAAGATTTGTTTGCAGTAATGAGCTTGTTAGATCTACAGGTTTTGGGGGTTTCATTTGAGGGGCTGGTATAGCTGCTGCTGGCGGCGGTTGACGAGAAAATTTTCGAACGGTATCTTGCTGCGTCGCTAACCTGAAAGAAAAGAAATCTATGACATCAAAAAAGTTGCATAGAGCCATTACATCTCACAGATATTGTAACAAGTATTATTGAATGTGGGAAGCCGCAGAACTTGTCCAAAGATTTAGATTATATTGTAGCTGACTTAATACTTCATGAATAAATTTTAAACACAATATGTGATATGATATGATTCTAACGAGGCAGTGGTTTTGTTTAATACATCTGGGTAGATACTACCCACTTGCCTATTTCTGCCTCCAAATACTATTGCTGCTGTGTTTCGGTCTGAGGTTATAGAGATCCGTAATTACAGACTGTGAAGCGTTCTATCTGTGCTCGGAGATGACAAAGCATTTGTTGATATTGGTTGCAGATATCCATTGCATTAGTTATTTAATATTAGGTGAACTGTAATTTTGTCATTTCAGTTTTATAAAATAAATGTGCCTTCATATTATAAGATTTCCTTTTTAATTTATAAAATAAAGTTAACACTTATATATGTCCCAGAAGTAGGCACAGAACTCCTCCCATTCTGGGCATTATTTTACAACTTAAGGTATGATTTCGATCTCAACAACGCGCAGCAGTGCTGCCTGCCGCGCTGATTCCGAGCAAGGCGGCAGTGTTGCCCTGTTCGTGGTGTTGAGCTATTGTGTATTCATTCAGTTCCTTTGAGTTGACAAGACGTCGATTGATCACCAACTTTTATTTATATTGTTGGAAGAGGAATAACTTGTTTTATTAATCTCCTTCCATATAATATCTTTCCATATATTGTCTTCGATTAAATTATTACGATAATTAGTATGACCGCTATCGTAAAGGGCTGGATATAAAGTCCAACCAAGTTAACTAATTGTTCCTCTTCTGAATTAAGAAAAGAGCTTACACCTTTCTAGAAGACCTGCAATTTCCCTGGTGTTGCGGTTGTTCATGGGCGGCGGTAGTCACTAACCATCAGGTGAGCCGCATGCTCGTTTGCCCCTCTTCTATAAAAAAATAATAATCAGAGAAAGTCATATTTTTGTTGGTTTACTTGTCAACATTCACCTAGGCAGTATCGCTGTCACTACTCACTACTGGTGTAGGCGACACTGTTGTTGCCGCGCCATTGCTGCGGAACTCTGAATGTAATCACATAGAAACCTATAGAGAATGTATGGGGACCAGTAGTGTTACGGCAGCACTGCTGCGTGTAGCAGAGTTCGGAAGCATACCTTTAAATATATTTTTTTCACAACTCTTTACATGAATATGACTAAACAAGAACTCCTACCCCAGAAATATGATGCTTTCTAGTCTTACATTAGGCACACACCTTTGTTTTTCTTCAATGCTTAAAGACCCTGTAGTAACTCCAACACTAGGTATAACTGGCTGCGGTTTTTCCGGCTGTTTACTGTTATTGAAAGCAAAAGTATCCAAACCCAATCCTGAGAACATTTTGTCAATGTCTGTCTGTGGAGTCGGTGCAGGAATTAAGTTGTCTGATGTAGATGTTAACGCTTGCTCCATTACTCTGAAAAAGTAAATAATTAGAAAGAGTTTTATAAATACTCTGTCACCATTTAGACAAAATCTTTCCTTGTTGTTTTGAGACAGAAATTTGTTAAAAATTCGGTTAATATGGTCACTTTCTTATAACTCAAAGGCCTTGTTTGCATGGATAGCTCTGTGATACTATATCAGGCAACGAAATAATATAAGTCAAAAATGCGCTGCTTTATCGACACCATTGTAATGGTTGACATTATAGTACATATTTTGGTCGATTTTAGTATTGTGTAGTGTAAGTAGTTATTTTTTTTAACTTGGTTTTTCAAAGTGTTCCTAATTGTTGCCAAAGCTTGTTTGCTATTTTTTTCGTGATATATTAGTTAAACTATACGACTTTACTTTTTTTTATAGGATAAGGGTGTCAAACGAGCACACAGTCCACCTGATGGTAAGTGGTTGCTGCGGCCCATAGACATCTACATCTATCCTCGTTTGCGAATCAAAATGCAGATGTGTTATCACCTGTGAGGACTAAGATCGAATGTTTCGTTTCCGGAACAAAGGGTCTCCGGTTCTCTACACTCACCATACGAAACCCGGCAGCGTTAAGCTGCTATTTTACACTGGTATTGTGCGAGCGTGGTCCTTCCCTGGTCGAGCCGACCCATACGTGCTACAACTATACTACTAATAATACTGCAGCATGGCTTTACCACGTAAAAAATATGTAACGTTTATAGAAACGGAGGCCCTTTTCACTGGTAATGAGACATTCCATCTCAGTCATAGGGGTGAGAATGTACCTACAATTGGATTCAATGATAGATGTAGTTGCCTATGGACTATAGTGTTCTGTTAAAACCACGAAAAATTTCACGCGTTTTATTCATCTCTTTCTCTTTGAACTTTTATCCTATTACATCGCAAAACCTTGTCCCCCTCCCTTAAAAATCTACAATTTTCAAGAAGGGAGGATTGATGCTTGAACATTGAATATATCATAATACTAGCGATCCGCCCCCGGCTTTGCACGGGTGATTTTTAGATCTTGACAACAGCGCCACCTACTGGTATCAATTGTGAATCTAAACCATCTAGGGACCCATTCAAACATACACAAAAAATCATTGAAATTGGTCGAGCTGTTTCTGAGTTTTAGTGAGACTAACAAACAGCCATCGATTTTTATATACAAGGTTATTTTTCAGAGTAGTCAAATTTTAAACTTAAGTTCAAATATATAAATAACGATACACCGTTATTGCAGTTTTGAAAATACGAGTAAATAAGGTTTCTACTTTTATTTGAAATTATCCCAAATTGAATGTGATTTATGGGCAACAATGTTTTTGCCAACCGATCGACCCTTAAGAATGTGTTCGCGCACACTAAAATCATTTAAAATAATGCATTACCACGCATTTTCAATTTAAAAGATTACAGGACAGAATGTTTGACATTTTTTAAATTAATTTTTCCTCACCATTTGCCTATACATAGGAAATAATATTTCAATTAATGGCTTTGGGAAGAGTGGTATGGGATAAACATAGTCAATCTTTATGTCACAGATATAGATCCAACTTTTTTACTCTATTATTACTGTGACCACCTTCAATAACATAACTGAAAACAATTTTTATTTAAATCATGGCTTTAGCTTTTTATAAAAAAAAAATTCAAGCCTAGAAGAAAACTGGAAATAATAATAACATGGGTAACATTCCTGTATACCTATATAAAGAAATTGTCAAATATCAGCTTTGAACCAACAAAAATAAGTTTAAAAGTATGTACATTAAACCATTGTGCTACTAGTGTTATTATAATTTATTAATACATACTTGGACTCATTCTGTATAGAATTAAGTTGTTCCAACTTGGCTCTATGCTCAGCCTCCACTTTAGAGATCATCTGCTTTACGAGTGTTATTAATGCATTGAACTGGTTCAAGGTCAGCCCATTCTCCACACAAAGAGGGATCAGGAATGGCAGAACTTTTGTGGCCATTACTTCTTTTGTTATACCAAGCTTGTTGTGGCTAAGAGCTAGCTTGTATATGCCTGGAAACAACATTTGATAATTGTTAAGCTAAATCTTCAAATATTAATTCCAAAAACAATGTGAATGTTAACTTTTATACCTAAAATTCCCATTAAAACAGCAGGCTCTCTTGATGGTATCTGAGGTAGGAAAGGTATAATCTCATCCAACACCAACCATTTGTCTAAATGTTCTAACAGTTTGCCCAAACAAAGTAAACAATTAACACGCACGGAAATATAGTTTGTACCCAAGCATAACTTTTTTATCCGAGGCAATAAAGCATTTTTCATTGCCGGATAATCTATAAGGGATGCAAATGTTGGCAAAACAGACAGGCAAAGTTCCTGAATCTGTTGAGCATCGGATTCCAGAGCTCGGTACAACATTGGCAATATGTCAGTCTTGATTTCTTCCCCTGGTGTCAACTTCAAGAGAAGTTCCATCTTCTGCATAAATATTAGGAGTATTTGTATTGGATCTTGAATCAGCATAACTGGTTTTAATACTGGAAGAATGTATTTAACATATTCTTCTTTAGTTGAGTTTTCTGCGATTAGAAGCACATTTGGAAGTACAAATGGCACCATAGGCGGGTTAACAAATTCCTTGGTGAGACATGGTAAAATTCTATATATACAAATACGGTGCGGCATTTTCTGTATCACTTGTGGCAGGCCTTTATAAAATTGAGACTTTTGTAAATTGTCCCATTGGAATAACGAGTCCAAATAGTTTAAAGTCTTGACACCAACATCTTCAAAATAAGGAATCTGTAAATTGAATGGAATCTCATATTTATTATTAATATAGCACATTATCATGTCAACGGTATGTAAGGAAAAAGAGGTATGTAAGGATTGTGACACTTGGCGATCTGTTCTCTCTGGCTACCCCGTCAGGGATTGTGCGTGAAGATAAGTAAGTAAGTAAGTAAGTACCATGTCAACGGAAACTGTTACTTCATCTTATCTACACATCAACCCCATTGCAAAAGTAACAAAATCTATCAGGACTGCCATTCCCTGCCCTGAAATGAACTAAAACTTTGCATTTTATAAGTTTGTGACTAATTGAAATTATGTTGGATGTGTAAATAAATATAGTCTTTAATTGATATAAATTGTTGCATCTCTTAGCTTTCTACATTGAAATTTGGAATAAAGATGGCAATGGAAACCCCAACGGATTAACTTGAATTTGTAATTATGTTACCTAATATGTAAGCGAATATATGTAGTGACTATATTTGATATTGTTGCTGTATCTATCACTATTACAAACATTTTTCAAAGTTTTTTAGTTTGTTTTGTCACAAGATATAGCAAATTTTATAAAATGTCACCAATTTTATAAAACCAACAATTTGCAATATGTTAGCAAATATATGTAATAACTATTGTTAATAACATATACCTGGGTTTAACAACGGTTTCACTATAATTGTATCCAAACTCATTGTTACAACTTTTTATACAATGTTACGTAACATTATAGAAGACAGCAACAACAGTATAGGAGAGTAAATATTCACTAACAAATTGTATTAAAATGTAAAATTGAATATAACTGCTATATAGAAGCACCAATACAAAATGGTAGGGTTATTGTAGTAAACTGTCAAAATCACCTCACACTAATTTGAAAGCACAATGTTTTTCACCTGTCACAGACTACATTGGCAAAATTATCAAAGTAAAGTGTGATTCTTAACGCTATTTAGTGCTAAGAATCACAGTGCCTCTTTTCTAATATAATACTAAAACTTCAATGAATATGTTCTGTCAATAATTTCTCAGTAGTAACCTGAAGTCAGGAGTTTGTGATATTTTGCCCTCATGCATCTGATTTCTTTCCATTTGCATCAGATTACTGTCCCATGGGACTACAACAGTGAGGGGATAGAGAGTGCACTTGTGCTTGCACTCAGGCATTATTATTTTGTCCTCAACTCAATGGCTAGTCCCCATTGAAAATGGGCACTATGATTGAAATCCAATCAGAAGTACATTATTATAGTTTCTAGTTTTGCTTCCAAGCCAATTTTAAGCCTGAATTTGAAGTGTATAATTCTTTGGAAGAATGTTTACATGGTGCCCAATTTGATCAGAAATTAAAGAATTGACTAATAGACAAAATGTTTAAAGACCTTGATAGATTACCGTAAATATTTTAATATTTTGTGGTAAATAAACCATGTAGTAGCGGTGTAAGAATATCTACTACCCCATATCGTCCCACGGGTGTCGTAAGAAGCGACAGAGGGAAAATGACACAGGAGATGGGCAGCAGCATCTTCCTGATAAAAACTCAAAATAATAAAAAACTGCGGTTGCCAACCCCCTTGCCAAGCGTGGCAACTATTGCAAAATCTTTCCATGAGGAATTTGATGAGGCTTCGTCATCAGTGGACTTTTATAGGCTGTAATGAATGGATGAATAGGATGGATGGTAAAAAATTATGCAATTCTACATGATGACCTAATAATATAAGTGAATTATAGATGTTTACACTAAAGCAGCATGAGGAACTTATACCAATCTAAGAATGTCAAGATGAGACATATGCACTTTAGAATATGTAGTGTTGTTGCTTTGCTAATATAGAAAACTTACCTTGAGGAATTGATGTGGGTCAGGTCGCAACTCAGGAGTTGTGTTTAACATGAGCTTCACATATTCCCTTAAACCTTCAGTTACACAAAGGAAACGAGATTGGGACAGATTCCTAATTTCATTGACAAATCTTTTAAATTTTGTGTAATCATTTCCTACATTACCCAATGTTTGATGGCCTGTGCTGTGCAAAGCATAGATCATCATACCAAGAGAGTAAATATCACTTGCCGGTGAATGAGTGGCTGACAAAATATACTCTGGTGCAAGATAATCCAGTGCAGGCTGAGTCAATGGATGCACAGCCTGACAGTATTCCGTAAATGGCCAGAAAGGGGCAGCACCTGGGGAACTCTGATTTGCAATGCAAAAATCAAAACCAAATATCTTCCAAGCACCTTGCTGGTTTACTATGATTGATTCTGGACAAATATTGTGATGAAGCAGTTTAACATCATTGTGTAGAAATGCAAGACCCTCAGCAATTTGCATTAAACCATACTTAATTTCAACTTCATACAATTTGTAATTAACTAAATTGTTAGGAATAGGCTGCGACATGTTTTCTGTATTTCCTAAAATATTAGCCAAGCTCGCAAATACAGGTTCTGTAGCAAATGCAAGACTTTCTCTGCTTTCTTCCAAGCTATGCTGCACTGTAAGAATTTGCGGGTGGCGAAGCTTTGTAAGCTGCACAACACCACGCCTTAAAATGTCGATCATAACATCTCTGTCAGCTTTTGTCCAACGCTCGAGATGTTTCTTTTCAAAAACAAATATCGAAGCCTCTTGTTTTGTTGATTTTTTGTAACCCTTATAGACTTTCCAAAGGAGACCTAAAAATTGTACCAATTTATTTTATAAGAAAGGTCCACATCAATAAATATAGCTTATTTTAAAATTTTGTTATTTTACCTGGACCTGCACTAGCAATGAATTGTGTCGCTTCAAACTCTCTTGTTACTGGATTTCCAGGCAACACACCGGATAACTGAGATACAGTGTTACTAACTGAAGAATAAAACTTATTAAACACCTCCATGTTTCCTAAAAGCAATAAACTTTTCTGGTTTAACATAAATTCATTTCATTCTAGACATCAACATCAAGTGATCAAGAGCAGAAAATACTGCACTGACAAGTTGTCAATTGACAACTGACATGATTTTTTTTGGAGTTTATGGCCTGGTATCTAGACCTTTAGGCCAAAACAAGTGACACGATTTTTTTTTGGAGTTTATGGCCTGGTATCTACACCTTTAGGCCAAGTCTTAAGTATTTTTATTCGGTTTATTGTAATTTCCCCACTCCTTCATAGTATACTGCTTCACAATATGTTGATGCGTCACATTGTGCAGTTCTTGGGAGATTTTGGCGGCAACTTGATCCAGCAGACAGCTGATAGTTGGCGATGGTATCTAAAGGTGCCTATGCAAACAAACAGCTTATCTTGAGAATCCATCACCATCAGAGCACTTGTTTCACTGTTTCCACTAATAGTTCACATGCGTAGACACTTAATACACAAAATCGCAACACTTTTACATATCAAAGTCCACTTCAAACCATTATTTAAACAATAATACAGGAGCAGCAAACCGCCGCCGGTCAATTTCCCGCCAAAACTCCAAGTGACACATGACATACGCTATCAGTGTGACCATCTTTAAAATACAAATCTTGCCTAACTTTGGTTAAAAAACCGCCAAAACCTGGCAGTCTGTAGAGAATAATTAAAATTTTGTACTACCGATTTAGATACAATCTTTTAAAAATAACTCGAAAACTATTGGTCAAACCTTAATCAAATTTATATAGGACCATATGTGAAAGCACCAGCTCTTAAGTAATAAAAAGAATCATCGAAATCGATTCACGCAGTAAAAGTTATGAGGTAACACACATAAAAAACATACAGTCGAATTGAGTACCCTCTCCTGTTTGAAGTCGGTAGAAAATGCTTAAGTACTGTCAACTTTATTTAACATTATATTAAACTAAGAAAAGTACAAATACACATTTCGATGGTATATTTTTATTAAACTAAGATTAAACATATCTTTCGTTGGTTTGAATGTAATGCAATCGCCATGCTTACCAATGTCTTGTTTAACGTGCAAGTTAGACGCTACATGTTTGTTTATAAGTCTGTTTCGTGGTTTTGTATAAATTAAATTTATTTGAAAGAATATTCTTTCGCATGCTGAATCCACTCATATTTTTTAATGTTTACGATTAGCCACATATTCTTTTAAAGCGGACAGCCGGGATGCCAATTTGCAGTTACACAGTCTGGATCATCTTTAGCTTTGGAGATCCACGACGAAAGTAAAGGATCTTGCTCCCACTCCGCTCTATACGCTCTTTCATATTTTCGCTTCCTCACTACCACCTACAATTACTATCGTCTACGAAATATTATTAACAAGATATTATCACCATGAAATCTAATACGATACCAAACTCAAGTATACTTTTAAGTACGTCTCTTCTATGACCGATTGAAATATTAACCATAGTCATGTTTATGAATACTCGATATAAGATTGTTAACGCCCTTAGCTGCCCCGACAAAGGTCGACCGTACGTACGTAGTGGTAGTCGCGACGGGCAACCACGGGAGGGGACCAATGGCCTATGGATAAATGTTCAAAAACGGCTGACAAATAAGCAAGCACTTACCGATGTCCGGAGGTAGGGTTGACCACAGGGTACCAGACAGGTGATAATTGAGGTGTATGTAAAGTGGTGTGCGAAAGTGAATATACATGTAACCTGACGGTCCGATGTAATCGGAGAGCAGATCGTAGTTCACCAATTGAAAACTACTGCCTTCTTTTCATTATTTCAGTTTATCAACTTTATTGTACATTTAATTAACTTCGAAGTCAACCAACTCAACGTTCATCGAAATTAAAACAAGTAACACACGACACAAGTAACAAACCGTCATTCAAAGTTCAATATTCAATGTTCCGGGTTCACGTAGCACAAATTTACAAAAACGGGAACGAACGCGGCCTTTTCTCGAGTCTCAAAGTTCAGCGTTCCACACAAGCTAAAATTCTTTCGTACGATATTAAAATACCACGCCCGCAATCGGAACTCAAAATTATCCTCGTTGACACGTAAAACGATCGAACAACAAAACAAAACAAAAACAATTCAACATTAACTTCTAAAAACAATTAACCGGGCCACGCCCTCGAGATAGAATGCGAGCATCAAATTCCAGGCCGTCTGTCCACTCGGCTTGCGCGCACGGTTCCGCGTCACACAAGCAAATTAAATATTGCAAAATGTACTTCAACATGCAATCACTATACAAATTGACGTAAATTACTTGCAAACGAAGTTACTTTAATCACTCAAATTCAAGAACAAACGCCTCGTCGTTACGTAAACGTACTAACAAAAAACGACACGAATTAGAAGCTTCCTTTTGCACGCGAACTCGCAGTTCAACGGAGCTAAACGACTGTCCATTCGAGGCGGTCTTAACGAGAACCAAATATTCAATAGTAAATTCAAAACCCACGCGCAACCTACTAACGGTCGCAAATAATACTCTAGTCGACCATGCCGCGGCGTTCAATAGACTGTTGCTAGCCCACGAGACCGACGGCACACGCCCCCCCCCCCCCAGCGGCGTTTACCTCACCTCAAACCATCGGGTGACAAAGGTAAAGAAACATTATCAACTTTATACACAAACTTTTAAAGTTATTTATTGAATGTGATCATCGATCACTAATAAAAAACTAGATACACAATCAGTGGCAAAAAATGGCATAACCGAATGTGCACCCACTCGAAAATATGGGTGCACTTTTAATCTAGTAGCATTCGAATGCTCCGACGGTAAACATGCCTCAGTGCTCTTTTAAAAAGTGTAAAAATCACACATCCAGGACGCTAATAAAGGATGGAATTTTATATTTTCGGTAAGTATTAGCATTAACATTATTTAATTGTTATAACTGTATTTTAAATACTGATATTTTGTCAAGAAACCATCGTAAAAGTATTTTTTTTAAATTAAGTCTAAATAAAATAAGTTGTCATTGCTCGAGGTATATGCGTTGATTCTGTTCCATTTGTGGAAACGCTATTGTTTTTTTATTATTAAAGTATGATTGGTTTTTTTTTGTTTAATGAGAGTTCTTTACTGTTTCTCTAAATATAGTACTCGAAACTTCGGTAATATAAAATAAGTTAATATAAGCGATAAAATCCGTAAAACTAGTTTCATTTAAATGTGTAGTGAACATTATAAACATAAGAAATCATTATAATTAATCATATAATATGAACATTACGTCAAAATTTGGACAATAATATTCTTAGATTTTGCAAGAACTTTCTGTACATATTTTTTATATTTAGTAACTATTATATTTAGATTTAACTTGTTTGTCAAGCAATATCTTTAAATTTTTCACACAAGATAAAGAATAAATAAATAATTATGACTGTTTCAATTGTTTTCATTACTAAATGAATGTGGTGCCCTATCCAAAAGTATATTTACATTCAGGTAATAATATAACCATTACACATATACACCTTAGAATAGAATATGCTTTATTAAGTAGACCAATTATTTAAAACAAGTTTAAAAAATTCTAAAATTAAAATTACAGTAACAAAAAATATTGTGCAGTTCGACTCCACTCTCCTTGTCCAAGCGACGAGCCTCGGTCGTTAAATTTTATTGCTTTTTGTACGTTGCTTTGTCAATACCACTTTAGGCATTTCACTTAAGGTTGAATTTACATTAATGTATATTTATATCAGCTAGAATTACGTCAAAACATTTGGCGACAGTTTTTAGAGAACTTTTGTATGGTATTGTGCATCTAGTTTTTTATTAGTGATCGATGAATGTGATACAAACATAATACGAGAAATATAGGGAAATCCTTCACATGCTGGCGAAGTATCTAGGGTTGCCATTTTCGGCATTTTAAGTTGCCATAATGACATCTATTTTTAAATACTGCCAGGTTTTATAAAACGTCAACCAATCATGCCAAATGCTAAAATAAGAGGCCAATCCTGCCAAAATGGCAGGAACCTGCCACATATGGTTACACTGTACGCATATGCATCCCTATGTTGATGATACTTATCGAATGTCAATGTGTCAAAGAAGGCACAGAGGGTATGTTCCGATATACACTGCGAACACTGCTCAGTGCTATCACTAGTGAAAAATTCGTTCCGTCATGGACTGCCAGCATACTGCCACAGTATGCTAGAGAAATATATGACGTCATAAAATGCAACCATTTTTGTACTGTGAGCACTAGCGCTTTCGAGGTAAGATGCTCTCAGTACTTTGATCACGTGATTAAGAAGCATAACATCGCCTAGAGATTTAACAGCTTCCACGAATGATTGTTATTATTATTATTAATTACCATTGTTATTCAAATAAACACCGACATAAGTTTTAAAAGAAACATCATTCAAATAATAATTTTACTTGTTGAACAGAAAACGTGTACATGCTATTTTCATTTGAAAACAGTGTCGAAAAATGGGAATGACAGTATACCGGACTGCGTTCCGTTTTTAACAGTAACCAGTATAGCAAACTAAAAAGGAGCGGCCTTTTCATACCGGGGAAGTTAATTTGTTCGGAAAATGTAAAGGTTAATGTTTCTTTCTGTATTATTGGCTATATTTTATATGAATAAGATTAAAAATAAATAAATGAAAATTTAAAAAAAGTTAAAAATATGCAGAAAATTAAATAGCAAACCACTGAGGCATTGTTTTGTGTAATATAATACTCTAGAAACTGATAAAATTTTATTAAAAAAGTAACTTCTCAATTAAATGACATTGTGTAAAAGAAACTTTACCTCAGCGTCAACTAGCGTCATTTGGTGAGGAGTAAATTATTAGTCTCATTGACGTCACACCTTACAGTGATCACAGTATATATATCGGAACACACCCACTATATGTATACTTAATAGATTGAATATCTGTGTTCTAAACACTAGCCAACTAGCAGCGGTACGAAAGGTCATTTACCTTAAAAACGACTGTGGATTTGACAATCTATTATCTACCTCTTTCCATCTTGTGTATTTGTTGTAATGTCTCATTTTCCCGGCAAAAACATGTCAGGGTCAAGACGGGTTCGCCAACATTCGGAACGAGCTCGATACAAGTTATTTGTTAAAATTTTTGTTATTTTTTGTTGTTTCTTTAATTATTTTGTTTTGTTGATAATTGTTTTTTATTAAGAGTGGTTAATGATGGAGCCACAACCAAATACGTCGAGAGATAAATCTACGAAAAAGAAACGTCCAAAGGTATGTATTATGTATATCTGTTACCGTACACCGGGCACACAGTTGTAAAGCCGCGTATCCACCAAAAATGTTGACAACAGTTATGTTTCCAACTGCTTCCAACAAGCGTCTCCACCGAGTGAACAAATGTTTGCAACAAGCGTATTCCTTTGATGTTGCCGCCGAAAATGTAAACTCGGTTCCAGTCATTGTTTCAAGTTTTATTACCAACTGTTGTGTTGGCAACAAAACTTTGGTGGAGACGCGGCTTTAGCGATATTCAGAAACATTATTATTATTCTCGTTATTTAATTTAAATCTATATTATACAATAATTCAAATTACAACAAAATTTATAAAGTTTTTTTTTGTTTGCTAGACATTTTTTAAAACTATATTGTCTACTTAAATATATAATCTATCAAAAAATGATGCACCCCTGCTATTTTCATTAAATTTATTATCTTAATGCATTTTAACGATGATGCAATTATATTCAATCAAGGTGCAGTTTTTTTATACTGTAGAAAATACCAAATTCTATTTTTTTTTATTATTTGAAGTAATATCGACGTTATAAGGTGAACGATCCATAATTAATTTTTATTTCGAAACTACATGGGTGCAGTTTAAATAATTAATATTTATGGAATGTGCTACATAAAATACGCTTGCCACCTTGCCAGTATATATATATATATATATATATATAGCTAGTCTATGGTTGCTTGACAAAATTTTCTTTGACATGTTTGGATTTCTTTTTCTTTTCTAGTTTCAAACCACAAATGTTGTAGTATTTTCAAACAATAACTATTTCTGATTTCTGAAGATTATGGCGTTCCAATTTTAAGATGCCATATCAATCAAAAATAAATGTTATTTTAATATTATCAGTGTTCATATTGATACCCTTAACGGTATCCGAAAGTGATCCATATACCAAAGAACCATATCGACCTTTGGGACCACTCGTTAAATGCAATTTTTTGCCTTTGGAATTTTTGGACTGTGATGAACCAGTAGATCATAAAGGAAACGAATCGGCGAAAGCTGCAGTGGGTCATGGTTGTGTGAAATTTGGTGGAGTGAGATATGAAAAAGTCGAGAGGACAAAAGTTCAGTGTAAAGTTTTAGATGGCATTGAATGCTTTGGCACACGTAGCTTTCTTCGGGACGGATTCCCGTGTGTGAGATATTCTGGACACTATTTCACAACAACTTTAATATACAGTATATTATTAGGATTTTTGGGAATGGATAGGTTCTGTCTTGGTCAAACAGGAACAGCTGTGGGCAAGTTGCTCACATTAGGTGGCTTAGGAATTTGGTGGATTGTTGATGTAATTCTTCTTATTACAAACAGTCTTCACCCAGAAGATGGCAGTAACTGGAATCCTTATGTTTAGAATCCTCATATGTACAATGTATTTTGTTTCTGTTGTTAGTGAACATAATTATTTGTTGTAAATAATGTATGTAGAGTAAATATTAATAAATTAGTTCCAATTGTACCTAAAAATGTAAAATAAGTAATTTTTTTCTATGGAGTAATAATGTAAATAATATTAGTTGATAAAATAAATTTAACCATAATAACAAATGAAACTATGTAACAATAAATATAAATCTGCAGCTTAATTGTCTTCATTTGTACATATAAAATTATATTAATTATGCGTTTTTTTGTTTTCATTTTTGAACAGTTTTCTTCATGGCAGCTATGGGATTGTACAGTAGCTTCTAACTGCAATCCAAGCAGTTAAAGTTCATGCTAATTCCACCATAATGGTTAATTACAAATTTCACCACTATAAGGGTTCTCTTCTAATAATCCTGTTAATGTCATGTTTCAGTTCAGTGTAGTCATTAATACCTAGAGTGGTAGAATTGCAAACATTACTGAATGCTCAGTTATAAGTACTGGGGCTCAACTACCGCTATATCAGCCGTATCAATGATACGGATCCCTGAACTTGTATCAGAAAAAAAATCAGAAAGGCTATCAGACTTGCCACTATGGTTTATAGAGGCAGAAAATTTAGAAAAACTGAAATCGTCTTCAGCTATGAATCATAATCATCATCATCATTACAGCCTTTCATAAGTCCACTGCTGAACATAGGCCTCCCCCAAGGAATGCCACAAAGCACAATATCCTGAGCCACCTGCATCCATCGACTTCCTGCATGTCTTACCAGGTCGTCACTCCATCTCTTGGGGGGTCGCCCTACACTTCGCCTACCGGTACGAGGCTGCCATTCAAGAACCTTTCTTCCCCATTGGTTGTCGGTTCTTCGAGCTATATGGCCGGCCCACTGCCACTTCAGCTTACTTATCCGTTGGGCTATGTCGGTTACTCTGGTTCTACTGCGGATATCCTCATTTCTAAGTTTATCACGCAGAGAAACCCCGAGCATAGCCCTCTCCATAGCTCGCTGAGCGACCTTGAGCTTCCTCATACGGCCAGCTGTGAAGGACCACGTCTCAGATCCGTAAGTCATCACTGGCAACATGCACTGGTTGTACAATTTCGTTTTAAGGTTTTGAGGTATGTCTGACGAGAAGATGTGTCGTAGTTTTCCAAACGCTGCCCAGCCGAGTTAAATCCGTCAATTGACCTCTCGGTCGAAGTTGGACTTACCTAGTCGGATTATTTGTCCCAGGTAAACATACTCGTCAACAACTTCGAGTTTAGTGCTCCCAACAACTACCGGCATAGGTGTGACATGGACATTAAACATGATCTTTGTTTTGTCCATGTTCATCTTAAGACCTATCCGTTTGGAGACACTATTGAGGTCATTGAGCATGGTACTTAGATCCTCCAGCGATTCTGCCATAAGGACTATATCGTCGGCAAATCGAAGGTGAGTGATGTACTCGCCATTGATGTTAATACCGTATCCTTTCCAGTCCAGAAGCTTGAAAACGTCTTCCAATGCAGCGGTGAAGAGTTTCGGGGATATAACGTCACCCTGTCTTACACCTCTCTGCAATTGGATAGGTTTCGTACTCGAATAGCCATCGTAGCCCTACTGTACAAGCACTTCAGCATTTCGATATACCGACAGTCAACTTGGCACCGCTGAAGGGACTGCAGCACCGCCCAAATTTCGACGGAATCAAAGGCTTTCTCATAGTCCACATACGCCAGGCATAGTGGCAAATCGTACTCCTCGGACTTCTGTACAACTTGCCGAAGGGTATGTATGTGGTCTATGGTGCTAAAGCCCTTACGGAAACCGGCTTGTTCGGGAGGCTGGAAGTCGTCAAGTCTGCGCGCAAAACGATTCGTAATGACTCTTGACAACAGCACGTAGACGCGGCTCAGAAGGGAAATCGGTCTGTAGTTCTTCAAGAGAGCGTTGTCACCTTTCTTGAAGAACAAGACCACCGCACTTCTGCTCCACGCATCCGGTGTAATGCCATCATGGAGGACGGAATTAAAGAGCTTCTGAAGGACTTCAAGTACCGGTTTTCCACACGCTTACAGAAGCTCCGCTGTAATCCCATCCTCGCCTGGGGCCTTGCCGTTTTTAAGATGCTGGAGAGCCATTCTAATCTCGCTCAGACTGACGTCGGGGATATCTTCGGAATAGTGTCGGAAAAGATTCGCTCTTGGATCGTTACTCACACTTGCGTGTGGCTCCAACGATGACGTGTACAGCTGCCCATAGAACCTCTCAATCTCACTCAAAATCTCAGGTGCCCCGGAAACGATGCTGCCACACTCGGTCTTCAGCTTTGACAGTTGGCTCTTTCTGGCAGACAGATCTCTGGTAAAGACTTTGTAGACTTGGTCCCGCTCGATCTCTTCTTCAATACAAGCTGTATTGAAGTCGCGTAAGTCCCGCCGCATGCATTTGGAGATCTGTCTGTTCAGTTAATAAAATTAAGAGTGTGATCGGAGAGTTTTTGTGTTCTTCTGCGGCGGGTCTTGCAGAACTTAGCTCCGACCGCATGGACAGTTTCCACGAGCTTGTCATTCATATCGTCCACTTCATTGCAGTCTTCTAGGCACTGAAAACGGTTTTGTAACTGGAGCTGAAAGGTTTCGGGACTTTGGAACAGAGCACGAGGGGGACGGAGCGTTGACTTCATTAGACGAGACCTCTCCAACTTAACGTTTAGGTTCAGTGTGCCTCTGACCATTCGGTGATCGCTACCAGTTTTCACCCTCGCGATCACGGAGACATCACTGAACAGTTGTCGTCTGGTCGTCATAATGAAGTCAATCTCATTTTTTGTCGAACCGTCGGGGCTCGACCAGGTCCACTTCCTGTGGGACCGCTTCTGGAAGAAAGAGTTCATCATAAAGTCCCTTTTTCTCCATAAGTCGGCCAGCTGCTGGCTCCTTGGGTTCCGTTGACCTATTCCAAACTTCCCTACTTTCAGCTCACCGTTCTCTCTTGTGCTTAGTTTTGCGTTGAAGTCTCCCATTAACACCGTATATTGGGTTTTGGAGGAATGCATGGCTCTAGAGACATTCTCATACATTTCCTCCACCTCCTCATCGGGATGTGCCGAGGTTGGTGCGTAAACCTGTATGACCTTCAGCGAATACCGTTTGGTGATTCTGAGTATAAGGTACGCAACCCTCGTCGACACACTCCCAATCTTTACAACGTCGTTAACGAGAGACTTGTGGACGATAAATCCGACACCTCCTTGGGACAGATGGTCGCCCTCCCGGTGATAGAACAAGTTGCCGGATTCGAAGATTACCATCTCCTCCCCCTCTCTTTGGACCTCGGACCCTATAATATTCCAGCGCAACTTGTCTATCTCTTCTTCCAGCTCCAGGATTTTCTCGTCAGTCCTCAGGGTGCGTGCGTTGTATATTGCCAGGTCGAGTCGTCTTAGGTGGCAACCGAACCTCCACCGGAGATTCTTAGCACTCCCTCAGCTCTATCAGCTATGAATATGATATAATAAATAAGTTCGCCGAACAAAAGCCAAGAAAAGTGTATATTTGATTTGAATTATTTGGCTATTTTAGTTTCTAGGAGTATTAATTCTAAGTAACTTATAATCTATTGTTGGGAATGAGGGTAAAAAATAAATAAAATGAAATGCGAATAAATGAAGGTATGTAAGTATCGCACAGGCGACTAAGAGGTATTAGTCGGTAATTCTACGAGTCTCACTGCCGTTACTATGCCTGTTGGGGTATTCTACTAGTGTAGCCAAGGAAGGTCGTGTTGCTGAGAGGCTGCCCTGTGTTGCATTGAGATGAGTAGTGGTGCTGTTGGTTTTGCGTACTTTGGTGTTATCATGTGATTGGGGTCCTGATAGTAAACAGGGTTTGTTACCGAGTAGTGTTCTTTTATTTAAATACTTAATTCTGACGATATTTTTTAACATCAGAAGGGGAATAGTTTCCTACACTATATATAATTATTTAATCAAATGCGAGTGTCTTTGTTCCTTTTGTGAAGTCTTTACTCTTCATATGGGCCCTGTAATAAATTTTGATACAGGGCCCGTCTAAGGGATAGTTCGCCACTGTATAAGTATCTAGTTGTTTATGATAAATTGGTAAATAAGTGTAATTGGTACATAAACACCTTCCCTAATGGTAAGTAATTGTTGCGACTCGAAAATACCAAATCCATAGAAGATGAAATAGCATAGAGAAGTGCATAAAAGAGAAAACGTGACTAGAATAAATAATCTATAATATAAAAATAAATCGCTGAATGTGTTGCTAAGCGCAAATCTCGAGAGCAGCTGAACCGATTTCGCTAATTCTTTTTTTATAATATTCCTTGAAGTACCAAGATGGTTCTTACGGAGAGAAAATTTAAAAAATTGTCTGAAAAAGTCTAAAAACTACACTTTTCTATATTCATATACAAAAGATTCGTAATAATACTTAAAAGTCAATTAATTTGAACTTTAACACCATAACATAAAGTTTAAGTGTTAGTGTAGGGTTTCCGGGAAGGCAAAACATTTGAGTGACGTTAGTATCGCATAAAATACTAATGTCAATATTTGTCAATTAGAATAAGTAAAAATAAAATGAAATATAATAAGTAGGTATCATAATAAGAAATCAGAAATTGTAATTTTCATTGTGATGTTTTAGTGACTATTAAAGGAATTTTAAGAGTTTTATAATTTTTTTGACATAATGTAATTGTTGAATTATTAACTTTCTTTATCCTTTTTTTATCTTACTAGCTGATCCGGTGTCCCGAATAGCAGAATAAGTATTAAAAAAAATTAAAGAATCGACTGTTAGGCAGTACGAAGTTCGCCGGGTCAGCTAGTAGCTTATAGTTACGACCTTCATTACCTCACTCTGATTAAGTTAATAAATAATTAAAACAACTCTAAAGAACTAAAAATTATTTCATTCAATTATTTATTTTATTTGTATAATTTTTTCTATAACTTTTTA